TCCTCCACTGTCAGAGTGAGCTCAAACGTAAACTGGAGGAACAACACCTGATATTTTGCCTTGGGAGCTTATAGCCCAGTGGCCTCAACATTGACTTCACCAGCTTCAAAATCCCTCCATCCCCAGTCTTATCCCATGTCCAGCGTCCAGCCCCTACCCCCCGCCTCCCACCTCCCTGATCAGATGTGACCTGTCCACCACCACCACCTCGCCTATCCACTCTACCCTTCCCATGCACCAATCACAATAACCCCCTACCTGCATTCACCTATCACCATCTCTTCTACCCTTACCCCAACCCCACCCCCATGCTATTCATTTCTGATCTTCCCCTCCCCGGCCCTGACAAAGGGTTTCGGCCGAAATGTTGACATACCTGCTCCTCAGATGCGACCTGACCTGTACTTTTCCAGCCTCACCTATTGACTCTGGCTTCCAGCATCTGCAGTTCTTATTGTCTCCAACCTTCTAGTTTTGGACTCCCCTGGGGAAAAGACCTTGGCTGTTCACTTTTCTATGGCCCTCATGATTTTATAAACCTCTATAAGGTCACCTTCAGCCTCCTGTGCTCCAGGGAAGGAGGTCCCACGTTATCCAGCCTCTCCTTTTATAACTTGAGCCTTCCAGTCTTGATAACATCCTTGTAAGTCTTTTTGTACTCTTTCCAGTTTAATAACATCCTTCCTGTGGCTGGGCAACCAGAGTTATATGCACAACTCCAAATGTGTGGCCTTACCAGTGTCTTGTACAGCCATAAGATGACATCTCAACTCCTGTACTGATGAGGGCAAGTGCCAAAACTCCACCTTCACCACCCTGTCTACTTGTGACACCATTTTCAATGAACTGTATACCTGCAGCCCTAGGTCTCTCTCTGACAATACTCCCCATGGGGCCCTACCATTAACTGTGCAAGTCTTGTCCTGGTTTGTCTGATCAAAATACAACACCCTGCATTTATCTAAATTCAACTCCATCTGCCCTTCCTCAGCCCACTGGCCCATTTGATCAAGATCCCGTTGTATTCTTAGATGACCACTTTCACTGTCCGCTACACCACCAGTTTTGATGTCATCCACAAACTTACTAGCCATACCTCCTATATTCTCATCCAGATCATTTATATATAAATAATGAACAACAGTGGACTTTTTTCTGCAGGAAAGTAACTCACTTGAATTCTGTGACTACCCGTTGCAGCTGGTTAAAAACGGAACAGTGTAGGAAGCAAATTTATGGGGATCTAGAACTGGATTTTCCTCCAGTCCTTCTGTAACACATTGATTGTGATTACAGCCTTTGAGGGAATAACAGAGTCACAAATGGTCCTGATGTCTAGCTTTTTAATTGAAACTTCTAACATGAGTATGCCATGTTGGTAATCACTTGTATGTGCTGTAACTATTTTGCACACTGACTTTCTTGGAAATTCATGTGAACTACATGACTGCCAAAGTCAATACTGTTCCCTGTTGCGACAGTTTGCTCTAGATTTTCTTTAATCTCCTCATCTCTACAGTCTATCATTGAGTGCTCCATGGATAGTTTAGACCAGTTAGCATTAATAAAATGAGCCTCTATTGTGGGAACTTGATGGTGCCTCAAAGACTGCCGCCCAGTTCCCTCCTGTCATCACTTTTGTAGTAGGAGTGAAACAAGTGGAAACAAAGGCAAGGATTTGATGGTGTGCTGGACTGCTCTTCCTATTTAATGGGTCAAATGTCTGGCTTCAATGGGGATCAATTGATTGACTCAATAAATTATCATTATGATAGATGAAGAAGGAATAATTGTATGGTTCGGAAGTAATTTTGTGATTCAATTTTGTTCCAGTCACCTATCAGTTTTAGAAAGTCAGTCTTTATTAGAAAGTTTTATTCTCTTTCAGGTCATTCATGGATTTAAACCAAAGTGTATTTTCGGAACTTTTATCTCCTCTTTAGTTTTATCCTCCTGGTGAGATGCAATAAAGTTGTTGTTTTGATTAATTCATTAGTTTGTATGCCTTTTTGCAGTTTCAGTAAAGATTGACTTGGAAGTTGATGCTTAATGAACTATTTTTTTCAGCTTGTAGGCCAATTTATTGCAAGAGCTGTGGCAGATGAAATCCTGTCAAAAAGTTACGTTGAAAGTTACAAAGGGAAAGTGGATTGTGAGAATGCCAGGTAAGTCGTTTAAATTTCACCTTGCATTTTTCTTTAGAAAATGGTATATGATTGTTATTTACTATGATGTGCAGTTTGAAATCCAGCTACAGAATACCAAGATATGTGTTTGAAAAGTTCCTGAAATTGATATTTGCGCTTTCTTATTTACTATCAAATTGACTTTAGTAATGCTTGTCCAGTCTCCAATGATTTGAAATAGCTCAAATATTAGCCACTTTGACCAGAAAAAGTTGAGGTAAACATTTATTTTTCCTCTTCTCCCCACCCCATCCCCCAAAAACCCTACCTAGAGCTGCCTTGGGTAGAGCAGCAGTGTTGCTTAGTATGAAGAGGGGTGGTCTGCGCCTGGACAATGTGTGGGGAACCGGAGGAGGACAACGGCCAGTTGAACAACTTGTCCAAGAGGTATATGACTTTAATAATTTCCATACTGTGCAACTTGGATGGAAATGTAATTGTCTTTTTTCATCATGGACCTAAAACTAGGATTGAATTTTGCAGCCTGTAACATTTTATTTCACTCTCTAAAATTATAAAACATTTTTTGAAATGCTTATTATTGAATTGTATGCCTTTCCTGGGAGTTGAGAAATTTTATTGGACGTAATGGAAAATGTATGCAGTTTTAGCCATTATCTGGAAACATTTTAGTTGTAATAGTTTAGATGGCTCGGATTTTGTCCAGTGCATTCAGGAAGGATTCCTGACACAGTACGTAGATAGACCAACACAAGGAGAGGCCACTTTGGATTTGGTGCTTGGCAATGAACCGGGCCAAGTGTTAGACCTGTTGGTAGGACAGCATTTTGGTGGTAGTGATCATAACTCTGTTACTTTTACAATAGTCATGGAAAAGGATGGGTACATACAGCAGGGTAAGGTTTATAATTGGGGGAAGGGTAATTACAATTCTGTTAGGCAAGAACTGAGAAACAAAAAATGGGAACAGATGCTGTCAGGGAAGAGCACTATTGAAATGTGGAGATTGCATTTAAGGAATGCATACTGCGTGTGCTGGATATGTTTGTCCCGAGCAGGCAGGGAAGATGCGGTCGAGTGAGGGAGCCTTGGTTCTCGAGAGGTTGAACGACTGGTTAAGAGGAAGAAGGATGCTTATGTAAGGTTTAGGAAACGAGGAACGGAAAAGGCTCTAGAGGGATACCAGTTATCCCGGAAGGAGCTGAAGAAAGGGCTTAGGAGAGCTACAAGGAGGCATGAGAAAACCTTGGCAGACACGATCAAGGAAAACTCCAAGGCTTTTTACACGTACGTGAGGAATAAGAGAATGACCAGAGAAAGGGTAGGGCGGATCAAGGATTGTAAAGGGAATTTGTGCACGGAGCCTAAAGAGATGGGAGAGGTCCTTAATGAATACTTTTCTTCGGTATTCACAACTGAGAGGGACCAAGTCATAGAAGAGGACAGTGTGAAACAGGCTGGTAGGCTAGAGGAGGTCGATGTTAGGAAGGAAGATGTACTAGGAATTTTGAGGAACTTGAAGATAGATAAGTCCCCCGGGCCTGATGGGATTTATCCAAGGATTCTATGGGAAGCGAGGGAAGAGATCTCAGGGCCTTTGGCGATGATTTTTTTGAGCTCACTGTCCACAGGTATAGTGCCGAAAGATTGGAGAGAGGCAAATGTCATTCCCTTGTCAAAAAAGGGAATAGGGATAATCCTGGAAATTACAGGCCAGTTAGTCTTACGTCATGGTGGGCAAATTATTGGAAAGGGCTCTGAGAGATAGGATTTATGATCACTTGGAAAGGCACAGTTTGATTCATGATAGTCAGTATGGATTTGTGAGGGGTAGATCATGCCTCACAAACCTTATTGAATTCTTTGATAAGGTGACCAAACACGTGGATGAAGGTAGAGCAGTGGATGTGGTATACATGGATTTAAGTAAGGCATTTGATAAAGTTTTCCATGGTAGGCTCATGCAGAAAGTAAGGAGGCATGGGAGGGGGAAATGTGGCAGATTGGATTCAGAATTGGCTGAACCTTAGAAGACAAAGGGTGGTAGTGGATGGAAAATATTCAACATGGTGCTCAGTTACGAGTGGTGTACCACAAGGATCTGTTCTGGGTCCTCTTCTATTTGTGATTTTTGTAAATGATTTGGATGAAGGAGTGGAAGGGTGGATTAGTAAGTTCGCGGACGATACGAAGGTGAGTCACGTAGTGGACAATGCGGAGGGCTGTTCTAGGTTACAAAGGGACATTGATAGGAGGCAGAGCTGGGCTGAGAAGTGGCAGATGGAGTTTAACCCTGAAAAGTATGAGGTGATTCATTTTGGAAGGACAAACTTGAAAGCAGAATACAGGGTTAACAGAAAGAATCTTGGCAGTGTGGAGGAGCAGAGGGATCTTGGGGCTCATGTCCGCAGTTCCCTGAAAGCTGCCACCCAGGTGGATAGAGTTGTTGAGAAGGCTAAGGTGTGTTAGCTTTCATTAATAGAGGGATTGAGTTCAAGAGCCGTGAAGTTATGCTCCAGCTATACAAAAGCCTGGTTCGGCCACATCTGGAGTATCGTGTCCAGTTCGGTCGCCTCATTACAGGAAAGATGTGGAAGCGTTGGAAAAGATGCAGAGGAGATTTACCAGGATGTTGCCTGGAATGGAGGGAAGGCCTTACGAGGAAAGGTTGAGAGAGCTAGGGCTTTTCTCTTTAGAACGACGAAGGATGAGAGCTGACTTGATAGAGGTATACAAAATGATCAGAGGTATAGATAGAGTAGACAGCCAGTGACTTTTTCCTCGGGTGGAGGTAGCTATTATGAGGGGGCATAGTTTTAAAGTGAAAGGAGGTAGATATAGGGGAGACGTCAGAGGTAGGTTCTTTACTCGGAGTGGTTGGGGCATGGAATGCATTGCTGGAGAGGGTAGTGGAGTCGGCCTCATTAGGGGCATTTAAGCGGCTATTAGATAAGCATATGGATGATGGTATAAGGTAGTGGGTGGAGGTTAGGTAGACCTTAGGATTAGGGTAAAAGTTCAGCACAACATCGTGGGCCGAAGGGCCTGTACTGTGCTGTACTGTTCTGTGTTCTATCTATTTGACTCCTTGGAAGCTCTATGTTTAAAAAGGGCCAAATGTTGTTTCTATAATGAATAGAGGAAATCCTTTTCAATTCTTTCACTAACCAAGATCTATCTCTGATATCATGACCGTGGGTAGTTTAATCTTTTCAGTTTAAAGCCTGACTTCTGATCGAGTGGCCATAGTACAAGTTCAATCTAAACCCTTCACAAAACTCTTTGTGTTGTCACCAAAATATTCTGACAGATCCACTGTTCATGTTGCACGTCCAGCTATCTGTGTGTTTGTGGCTGTGTGCCTTATCGTCTTTGAACCTTCGTGTAGATAGTATCTCTGAACTTGATGAGATTATTTTCCCTCTGAAATCACCTTGTTATTGTTACGGCTGACTTCAAACTCCATTTTCATGGCCGTTTAATTAGCCACATTTTTGCAAATGATATTATTTATTGCATCTTTTGTTTAAGGATGACCAGTCTTGCACATTTTTCATTTATTATTCGTGCCAAATTATGTAGTAAGCTCATTTCACAAATGGAGTTGGTATATAAACAGTGATATAAATGGTTTTTGTGCACAAATTGTTGAAGCTGGCTGGACAGGTTAATAAAGCATGTGGGATCCTGAGCGTTATAAGTCGAAGTATAGAGTACAAAAGCCAGTAAGTAATGCTAAACGATAAGACCCTACTGCAGTTTTGCCCCAGCTGCTGTTCTCTTCCCCAATTTAGGGCATTTTACTTGAGAATGTTGCAGGCTAGGAAAGGGAATAGAGAGAAATGAAGAAGGGTCTAGACCCGAAACGTCAGCTTTCCTGCTCCTCTGATGCTGCTTGGCCTGTTGTGTTCATCCAGATCTACACCTTGTTATCTCAGAAATGTACTAGTGATTTTAGAGATCAGAAGCCGCAGTTTCCTGATTAGACTGCATCTTAGAGCAGAGAAGGCTGAGAGGAGATTTGACTGAGGTGTTTAAAATGAAGAATTTGGATACAGTAAATGGGAGGAATTGTTTCCTGTGGCTGAGGAGTTTACAGATGGAACCACAGATTTAAGGTGGTGTTTCTTTTTGTCAAAGTTGACATTAATTTTTTTTTTCTCATGCACTGAGTTTTCAGATGGGGACAGATTTAATATAGAATATCCTTTTATTGTCATGTGTATTCAAGTACAGAAGTGCAAGAGTACAGTGAAATGTTCACAATATCGCCCCCAAATAGCACCACCTTAGATACAAAGTACCTAAGTACAAATCTTGGATACAAAGTACAGAAATAAAGGCGGAAAAGAGAAGTTAATTACTTGCAGTTGTTCATAGTGCAGGTTAGAAAAACAAGAACAAAGTGTAAAAGATCAGCATTACAGTCTTTCAGTAGATCAGCGCAGGGAGGTTCCACACGTGGTCTGCCCAGGCTCGCAAGCCACTGATCACCGGCACCAGTCCCCAGACCAACGACCAGCCCGTACTGCTCTGTGTCTCCAGCCCACTGGCCGTCCCCGCTCCCCTCCTTTTGGAGGAGAATCTGTTGCAGATATATTAAGAAATAGGGTGAGAGAAAGATTGGACTTGCTCTCTTCAAAACTAATACCCAGTATTATTTCTGAGTTTCGGTTTCAGTGCAGAGGTATATGCATCCACCCCATAATGTACTAAAGAGAAGTCTTGTTGTATAGCAATTATGTTATTGAATTTGACCAGCTGCATAAATTCAGTGGCTGCAAGACTAGATCAGACACTGGAATTCTGTGGCAAGTAATTATCCTCTTGACTGCCAAAATGTACCCACCATTTTTATCAGGCACAATGGAACATTCTCCACTTGCCTGGATGAGTGCAGCTCCAACAGCTCTCAAGAGGCTTGAAATCGTTCAGGACAAAGCGGTCTCTTTGTGCAATGGTACACCCTTCAACACCAGTGGCAGTAATGTGTACCACCTATAAAATGCACTGCAGTAATTCCCTTAGGTTGCTTAGAAGACATCATCCAAAACTGTGACCTTGCCCATCTAGAAGGACAAGGGCAACAGATACATGGGAAGACCGTCCACTGAACTGCAAGTTCCCCTCCAAGCCACTCACCATCCTGACTTGGAAATATATCACTGTTCCTTAACTGTTGCTGGGTCAAAATCCTAGAGCACTGGGGTCTACCTACAGCACACAGACTGCAGTAGTTCAAGCAGCATCACTGCCTGCACAGGCAATTGGGCATCAACAGTAAACAATGGCTGTATCTAGTTTTTCCAATTCAATTTCATATGCAATTGCTATGCAGGATTTGCTAAGTGCCTTTTTTAATATAATTTGCATAGTTTGTGCTTGGAAATGTTTGGGTTGGTTTATTATAACCTTTAGCTACCTTGACTGGAAACCTGCAAAAAACAACCAGTATAACCTTAATAGTGGTGATCAGTGAGCTGGATGAACAGTGTATGACTAAATACTATTTGATAGTGTTAGACTGTATGTTCTTCAATTCTTTCCACCTTCTCCCCAACTCTCCCAAAAAAACCTCCACTCAATTACCTTGATAGATTGACATGTTGCTGAAAGAATACCAAGTGTCTGGTGATGTAGCAGAAGCGGAACACTGCCTTCAGGAACTCGAAGTACCCCATTTTCACCATGAACTGGTGTACAAGGTAAAAACACAAGTGATTATCTATGAGTGTCATATGTACATATATTTTAAACAATAAGTCCTTCGCAAAATATTGAAATAACTGCAATATCTGAGGTAATGGCAGTAAAAGTAGGGACCATCTAAACAGCAGTGAACATAATAGATAGTTTAGAATAATTGAGAAGGACAAAAAAAAATGACAAGACAAGATATAGATTGGACAAAAGCTGTCTTTGAGGGTTAGGAATACAACAAGAAAATAGACAATGATATTGGAAAACAATGGAGAACAGCAATTTTAAATATTTTCAAACTGTGGGCAACAAGAGCCCATTAAAAATATATTCCAACAAAGAGACATAAATGGATATAATATTAATGATGAAATGTTGGAGCATAGAAAATAGAGACGAGTAGGCTCTTCAAGCCTGTTCTGGTGGAGGTGCCGCTGTTGGACTGGCGTGGACAAGGTCAGATGTTGCGTGACACCATGTTATAGTTCAACAGGTTTATTTGAAATCACATACTTTTGGAACTTCAGGTGAAGTGAAGAAAAGCACACAGGCCCATAATTTATAGGCAGAGAGATCAAAAGATTGTAAAAATGATGTGAGTGGACTGTCAACGGGCTAAATAATAAGTCTGTACAGGTGATTGAGTGTCAGATGGTGTGAGTAAAATGTCAACAGCTGAATAGCAAGCAAAGGGATGACCTTTAATCCAATTAAATGAGGCAGATAATTACAAAAAACAAAAATAAGGTGGTGCTGGAGACAAACCAAATGGCTGGAGTAACATGATAGGTACAAGAGTCGCATTCTGAGGCTCTAACCAAAGTAACAAGTAATCCAAAACTGTACAAATTAAGGTAGAGAGATCATAACAAGTTATCAAGGTGATGGGGTCAAAACAGGACAGTAAGGAAGATTTTACAGATACAGAGCAGTGTGGTGGGTTTACATGTAGCATGACATGAGCCCAAGATCATGGTTGAGGCCGTCTTCTTGGGTACGGAACTTAGCTATCAGTTTCTGCTCGGTGATTCTGCGTTGTTATTTTGAAGGCTGCCTTGGAGGACGCTTATGCGAATATTGGAGGCTGAATGTCCTTCACTGCTGAAGTTTTCTGGACTGGGAGGGAATATTGCTGTCTGGCAATTTGTTCCATGGTGTTCATTCATCCGTTGTAGCATCTGCATGGTCTCACCAATAAATCACAGCTTGGGGCATCCTTGCCTGCAGCGTATGAGGTAGACCATATTGGCTGAATCAGATGAGTATACATGCTTTGCACGTGGTGGATTGTGTTCCTGCGTGTGATGGTAGTGTCAATGTCGAAGATCTGGCATGTCTTGCAGAATTTGTCTTGGCAGGGTTGTGTGGTGCTGTGGTCGATGTTGTCCTGAAGACTGGGTAGTTTCTGCAAACAGTGGTCTGTTTAAGGTTTGATTGTTTTGAAGGTGAGAAGTGGAGGCGTGGGAAAGATCTTGGTGAGATGTTCGTCATCAATGCCATGTTGAAGGCTGTGAAGAACATGGCGTAGTCTCTCTGCTCCAGGGAAGTACTGGACAACAAAGGGTACTCTCTCGGTCATGTCCTGTGTCTGTCTTCTGAGGAGGTCGTTGTGGTTTTTCTCTGGCATATCGGAACTGGCAATCAGTAATTTGAGCATTGTATCCCATTCTAATGAGGGCGTCTTTCAGCATCTTTTAGACGCCTGGTGCATTCCTCCTCATCTGAGCAGATCCTGTGTATCTGCAGGGCTTGTCAGTAGGGGATGGGTTCTTTAACGTGTTTAGGGTGGAAGTTGGAGAAGTGCAGCATCGTGAGGTTATCCATGAGCTTGCGGTTGAGTGGGGTACTGAGGTGTCTGTCCCTGATGGAGATGTGTGTGTCCCAGAATGAGACTGATTGTGAAGAGTAGTCCATGGTAGTCGTTTCAGTGATTCCTTACCATGAGTCCAAAGAAAGAAAATATCAAAGAACAAAGAATATTTCAGCTCAGGAACAGGCCCTTTGGCCCTCCAAGCCTGCACCGACATGCTACCCGTCACAACTAAAACCCCTACCCTTCTGGGGACCATATCCCTCTATTCCCATCCTATTCATATATTTGTCAAGACGCCCTTTAAAAGTCACTATAGTATCTGCTTCCACTACCTTCCCCGGCAGCGAGTTCCAGGCACCCACTACCCTCTGTGTAAAAACACCCTGCCTCGTACATCACCTTTAAACCTTGCCCCTTGCAACTTAAACTTATGCCCCCTAGTAATGACTCTTCTACTCTGCGGGGGGGAGAAAGCTTCTGACTGTCCACTCTGTCCATGCCCTTCAAAATCTTGTAGACTTCTATCAGGTCGCCCCTCAACCTGTGTCTTTCTAGTGAGAACAACCCAAGTGTCTCCAACCCCTCCTCGTAGCTAATGCCCTCCAAAACAGGCAACGTCCTGGTAAATCTTTTCTGTACCCTCTCCAGAGTCACCACATCCTTCAGGTAGTGACCAGAATTGAACACAATATTCCAAATGAGGTCTAAGTAAAGTTCTATAACGCTGCAACATTACCTGCCAACTTTTAAACTCGGTGCCCTGGCCGATGAAGTCAAGCATGCCATATGCCTTGTTGACTACCTTTTCCACCTGCGTTACCACTTTCAGTGACCTGTGTACCTGTACACCCAGATCCCTCTGCCTATCAGTACACTTAAGGGTTCTGCCAGTTACTGTATATTTCCCATCTGGATTAGACCTTCCAAAATGCGTCACCTCACATTTTTCTGGATTAAACTCCATCTGCCATCTCTCTGCCCAACTCACCGACCAATCTATATCCTGCTGTATCCTCTTGATGGTCCTCATTGCTATCCGCAATTCCACCAACCTTTGTATCATCTGCAAATTTACTAATCAAACCAGTTACATTTCCTCCAAATCATTTGATATATATATTAAAAACAGCAAAGGTTCCAACACTGATCCCTGAGGAACGCCACTATTCACAGCCCTCCATTCAGAAACACCCCCTTCCACTGCTACCCTCTGCCTTGCCAGAGGAAGTGGTGGAGGCTGGTACAATTACAACATTTAAAAGGCGTTTGGATGGGTATATGAATAGGAAGGGTTTAGAGGAATATGGGCCAAATGTTAGAAAATGGGACTAGATTTATATAGGATATCCGGTCAGTATGGACAAGTTGGACTGAAGGGTCTGTTTCCATTCTGTATATCTCTGACTCTTCTATGACCAAGCCAGTTTTTTAACCATCTTGCAAGCTCACCTCTGTATCCGTCTGCAGTGAGGGACCTTGTCAAAGGCCTTATTGAAGTCCAAGTAGACAACATCCACTGCCCTACCCTCCTCAATCATCTTCGTCACTTCCTCAAAAACTCAATCAAGTTAGTGAGACACGACCTCCCCTTCACAAAACCATGTTGCCTCTCGCTAATACGTCCACTTATTTCCAAGTGGGAGTAAATCCTGTCTCAAAGAATCCTCTCCAATAATTTCCCTACCATTGACATAAGGCTCACCGGCCTGTAATTAGCTGGATTATCCCTGCCACCCTTCTTAAACAAAGGAATAACATTGACTATTCTCCAATCCTCTATGACCTCCCCTACAGCCAGTGAGGATACAAAGATTTATTTCAAGGCCCAAGCAATTTTCTTTCCTTGCCTCTCTCAGTATTCTGGGATATGTTCCCTCAGGCCCCGGGGACTTGTCTACCTTAATGTTTTTCAAGAACCCCAGTACTACCTCCCTTTTCATCTCAACAGGACCCAAACTATCTACACACCCTTCCTCAGACTCATCATCCAACAAGTCCTTCGCTATGGTGAATACTGACGCAAAGTACTCATTTAATACCTCGCCCATTTCCTTTGGCTCCACACATATATTCCCTTCCCTGTCCTTGTGTGGGCCAACCCTCTGCTTGGCTATCCTCTTGCTCTTTATAAAACACCTTGGGATTTTCCTTAATCCTGTTGGCCAGTGACTTTTCATTACCCCTTTTAGCCCTCCTGACTCCTTAAGTTTCTTTCAACTTGCCTTGTATTCCACCCTTATTTCATGTGTTCCCAGCCTCCTAGCCTTGACAAATGCTTCCTCCTTTTTGACTAGGTTCACAATATCACTTGTTATCCAAGTTCCCTAAACTTGCCATATTTATCCTTCACCCTTGCAGAAATGTGCCGATCCTGAGCTCCCAGCAACTTACACTTGAAAACCTCTCACATACCAGATGTTGATTTGCCCTCAAACATCTGCATCCAGTCTACATTCTTCAGTTCCTGCCTAATATTGTTGGAATTAACCTTTCCCCAATTTAGCACCTTCACCTGACAACTACACTTATCCTTATCCATCGGTACCTTAAAGCTTACTGAATTGTGATCACTGTTCCCGAGCTGCTCCCCTACTGAGACGTTGACCACCTGGCCAGACTCATTCCCCAATACTAGGTCCAGTACGGCCCCTTTCCTAGTTGCACTATCTAGATACTGTTTCAGGAAGCCCTCCTGGATGCTCCTTGCAAACTCTGCCCCATCCGCACCCCAAGCACTAAGTGAGTCCCAGTCAGTATATGGGAAATTAAAATCAACCATGACAACAACCCAACTTTTACATCTTGCCAAAATCTGTTTACATATCTGTTCTTCTATCTCCTGCTGGCTGTTGGGAGGCCTATAGTAAACCCCAAATATTGTGATTGCATCCTTCCTGTTCCTGAGCTCTACCCATATTGCCTCGCTGTATGAGCCATCCGAGGTGTCTTTTTGCAGTACATAGAACATTACAGCGCAGTACAGGCCCTTCGGCCCTCGATGTTGCGCCGACCTGTGAAACCAATCTGAAGCCCATCTAACCTACACTATTCCATTATCATCCATATGTTTATCCAATGACCATTTAAATGCCCTTAAAGTTGGCAAGTCTACTACTTTTGCAGGCAGGGCATTCCACACCCTTACTACTCTCTGAGTAAAGAACCTACCTCTGACGGTTGTGATACCTCCTTAACAACTAGTGCAACTCCCCTACCCCTTTTACATCCTTTTGTCGTCACTTGACACTAGCCCCTCTGCAAACCACCTTCTGGAAGCAGTGCCTACACTGATGCAAATCTTCCCCACGTCAGCCATTCAGCATCACCATCCTGCCTTCTTCCGAGTTGTTGATATATCTGGTATATAGCCTGCTCTGCCATTCATTATGATCATGGCTGATCATCCAACGCAACAGCCTGTTCAGGCCTTTTCCCCCAGATCTTTGAACCCTTTTACCAAGTGTTATATTCAACTCCTTAAAATCATAAAATGTTTTGACCCCAACTGCTTCTTGTGGTAGTGAAATAGAAACATGGAAGAAAATGAATAAAGATATGGACAGGGATAACTTAACGGGAATAAATGACAGACACAATGTTTGTGAACAACGAACTACATATCTGGAGAGAATACAAATCTTAAGAGAAAGATCAAAGAAGATGATTTATGCAAATAAGCATCGAGGAATATGAAATAAAATGATAGAATATTCCACAGGCATATTTTAAATAAAGGCAAGTCTGATGTGATTAGGGCCAGTAAGGAACAGTTAAGATAAGTCACCAGCAACAAGACTAAAATGGCAGAAGTATTGGAATTATTTTGATTCAGTACTTTCCAGGTAGACTGATCAGGTGTACGTAACTTTGGGATACAAGATTAGAAATGGACTAGTCACAGTTAAATTTGAAAATAAAAAGAAACTAATCCAATTAGTTAAACTTTGGATAAAACACCTGATCCAAGAAGAGACAGCAGAGGTGCTATTTATTTCTTGAGAAAGGGGTATAGTGCCTGATGACTGGCAGCATTTGATCTGTCTGCCTTTGTAAATGTAGATATAATATGCTCAGGAAATTATAGCCTAATCATCTTGTGGTGCAGTTGGTCAGTGTGTTTGACTGTTAACCAAAAGGTTGGTGGTTTGAGACCAGCCATGCACAATATTTGAGGGCTGTTGTGGTGCAATGCTAGTGTTCCCACCTGTGGACCCAGAAGCCCAGGTTCAAGTCCCACCTGCTCCAGAGGTGTGTAAAAACACCTCTGAACAGGTTGATTAATAAAATATCTAGACTAGTTATTTTAATATCAAGCAGAGGAGAAAAGTGAAATCTGTATTTAAAACATCTAGAAAGCAAAAATATAATGAATAATCAACATGGATTTCAAAAGTGAACGTTTCATTTGGTCAATCATTGAATTATTTGTAGAAGTAACAAAGTGTATTTGAGGATGAAGGTGGACGCGTCGGATATTTGGATTTTAAAAAGACTCTTGATAATATCACATGTTAGAATAGTAACTGAGGTTGCAACAGGCTGATACTGGAGAAAGACATAGCTGATTGCAGAACAGGAAGGTGAGAGTAAGGCAGAGGCTACTGATCTAGAGTGGCAGAAGGGATCAGTGTGAGACTGGTTATTGTTCATATTTGTTTTAATAATTTAGACACTGGATGTTTGATCACAAACTTGCACGTGACGGGTAGGACAATTAACACTGAGGACTGCAGCAAGTTAACATTAATAAACTGGCACAGTAGGCATGTGTCAAATGTTTTTGAATGTAGAGCAGTGTTGGGGATTATAGTTCAGCAAGGAAAATAAGGAGGTAAAGCTGTTTGTGAAATGATATTGCTTGTGGGGTAAAGGAGCAAAGGCATTGCGGGTACTGTTATGCAAATCACTAAGTCGTGACATAGTCCAATAAAGCCACAACAAAAATGCTAGTTTTTATTTCTTGAGGGATGAAATTTAAAATAAAAGTAATGCTACACTTGTCTTGAACCTTCTATTACTCCTTGCTTGGAGTACTGTGTGCAGTTATGATTGCCTTGCTTTTTAAAGCTGGAGGTACTGAATAGGATGGGGAGAATTGTTTAACGTGGATTATACTATGTACCTTCCTGCCAGTAAAAGACGATGAGCCAGATTCTCTCCCTAAAAAGAGAAGGATGACTCAGTTATGAAATATTTTGATAAAGTAAACAGTGTTTTCACTTCTAGGGAAGAGCAAAAGCAGAGAGGAGTGCAATGAGTGAATTGATTAAGCAAGCTCCCTGCTTTATAGTTTGGCACCATTTTGTTGTATGTCTCTAAGAAAGTCATTCAGTTTGGTCAGCTTTGCCCAGCAGTTTTCCAGTCAGCATACTAATCTGATATAAACTTGAAACAAAAAGGGAACTAACGTGAAGAGCTGAATAAGGCTTCCATAAGAAGTGGACCAATTTGCAGTTGTTTAAAGTAATTGTCAGCACAGAACTATTACTCACCTGTTCAGCAATATGGACTTGACCACAGAATTGCTCAGTAAAGTTGATGAAAACAGCATTGAAATAAACATTTCTGGTAATCTCAATTTGAATACTACGCCTGTCTATTCACGATCATTACACGTACTGACCATCCAAAGCAAGTTGCTGTCTACCTGGCCCAAAGGTTCTACACATGACCATACAAAGCTACAAGCTGGTTATCTTTCAGGTTCGGCATAATGTTTGGAAGTTCCATTAGGCAGCCTGCTTGATTGGCACCACATCCATCACCAGCAGTGTTCATTCTGTGCACAATGGTGTGTTCCATCTACTGTGTTGCAATAACTCACTAGACCTCCTCTGACAGTACTTTCCAAATACGCAAACTCTACCGCTTAGAAGGATGAGGGCAGCAGACACATGGGAACACCATCACCTGCAAGTCGCCCCCGAAATCACGCACCAATCTGGCTTTGAAGTACTTCTGTTCCTTTACTTGCTGGTCAAGATCCTGGAATTCCCTCCCTTACAACATTGTGGGTCCCTAAATTGGACTGCAATAAAAGTAAAGAAGACAGCTCACCAGCAGCTTCTCCAGGGCACTTAAAGATGGTAATAAATGGTGGACTAGCCAGTGATGCCCATGTTCTAAGAATGAACAAACAAAGATTATTGGAGTTATTCCCAAGTGTCGTCAACATTTCTCCCTCGATTAACCCCAAGAAACAGATTGTCTGGCCTTCTGTCATATTGCTGTTTATGGGAGTTTGCTGTACATAAAATTGGCTGTTGTACTTCCTACATTTCAAAAGTGGCTACGCTTTAGAAGTAGTTCATTAATCGTAAAGTGCTTTTAAATCTGTTGATCATGAAAGGCGCCATGGAAATGAAAGTCTTTCGTTTTCCTGTCAAATGAAGTGTAACTGTTTTAAGTGGTCTACTGTGTTATGGATGCTGCTAGAAAACATCTGACCATGAGAAATAAGTTTTTGAACTAGTAGTTAACTTCCAGGTTATCCAGTGTTTCATTACAGTAACTTCATTTTAAAGATTGTTTAGAAATATTTCTAAGACTAGTACAGTTAAGTTTAAGTAAGTACTTAAGTTGTTATGACTATTACATTCAAAATTTTTTAGGCTATATTGATGGTTCTGGAATCAACTGGAGAAACTACCTTCAAAATGATACTGAAGCTACTTAAATCCTTGTGGGAATCATCTGTCATTACAGTGGACCAAATGAACAGAGTAAGTATGCCATCTATTGGACAACAGTGCATCATGTGTTAGAAGTACTTGTAGATATTTCATAATTTCTAAAGTATTACAATTGCACCCATCACTGCCTCCTTGAGAGGATTGGTTGTTTGTATTTCAATACAATTTACTATTTTTATTTGTATCACAAGCTTTTGAAGACTTGTCGATTATAGTGAGGCCTTTTTTTAAAAGGCAAGGGATTATGCCTCTCTATTGCATGGTCGCTAATGTTTAGGATTTTAGTTTAACATTGTAGGCTTAAATGAGTCACTCTGGTTAGCAAGATGTAATCAGTGGTGTACCATAGGGATTAATGATGTGACCTCCAACATTTTACAATTTATACAAATACCTTTAGAATGAAGGGACAGAAGGTATGATTGCTAAATTTGCTTATGACAAAAGGATAGGAAAGTAAGTTGTAATGAGAATATAAGGAGGCTACACAGGGATGTAAGTTATGTGAGTGGACTATAATGTGGGAAATGTGAAATTGTCCATTTTAATAGGAAGAATAAAAAAAATCAAAATATGAAAGATTGTGGAGCTCTGAGATGTAAAGAAATCTGGGTGTCGTAGTGCATGAATTGCAAAAGTTTAGTGTTTAGGTCCATCATGTAATTGGGAAAGCTAATAGAATGTTATGGCTTATTGAGAGGGGAATTGAATACAGAAGTAAGGAAGTTGAGCTTTAGTTGTATGGGGCTTTGAAACCACATCTGGAATACTGTGGACAGATTTGTCTCCTTTGCGAGGGTTTAAATGTGTTGGAAGCTATTTAGAGAGGGTTTAATAGATTAATAACTGCAATGGGAAGATTGTCTTATGAGAAAAAGTTAGACAGATTAGGGTTATATCCACTTGGTTTAGAACATGCACATGGAATAGAACCTGCTCCACCATTCAATAAGATCATGGCTGATCAGTTTATGTTTTGAATTCTACATTCCCACCCACCCCTGGTTTAGTACTGAATTTCCCCTGCCTAACCAGAATCTATCCACCTCTGACTTAATATTCAATCACACATCTCCGCCACCTCTGTGGCAGAGTTGTATAGCTACGCAATGCTCTGAGGAAAATATTTCTCATCTCTGTCCTAATTTTGAAACAGTGCCCCTGATTCTGGGCTGACCAATAAGAGCAAACATCCTTTCTATGTCCACCTTGTCAAGACCATTCAGGATCTTGCATTTCAATCAAGTCACCCCTCACTCCTGTAAACTTCAGTGGAAACAAGCCGGGTCTGTCCTATTATTTCATGTAAGACAATCCATTAATACCAGGTATCAATGCAGCAAACCACTTCAAATGCATTTACTTCTTCCTGAAGAGACCAAAACTGCACAGAGTATTTGAGATGTGGTCTCACCAATGTCCTGTATTACTGAAGCCTAACATCTTTATGTTCAATTCCTGGCATGATAAACTATAGCATCCCTCAGCTGTATGTGCTGTACCTTCATCCTAATGTTTTGAGAGTCATGATTGAAACGTTAAGATCCCGTGGCGTATTAACAGGGTAGATATGGAAAGGATGCTACTACTTGTAAATCAAGAAATAGGCATCTGTCTTTCAGAATAATGGGTTACCCATTGAAGGCAGAGATAACGAGCAAACCTTTTCCAGGGTTATAAGTCTTTTGAAATTTTGTTCGTCCAAAGGCAATGGACACAGTCTTTGAATATTTTTCAGGCAGAGGTTTGTAGACTCTTGGTAGGCACAGGAGTGAAAGGTTATTTAGGGTAGTTGGGAATGTGGATTAATCAGATCAGCCCTGATCTTGTTGAATGGCAGAGCAAGCTCAATGGCCTGTTCCTGCTCGTAATTCATGTTTGTATTAATGCTGTCTTAGGACACTTGCTAAAATGTCATTTTGAAACCAGATGGTTTAACTAAGACTGTGTGAGAGAAACCAACCCTGTGTGTGTGTGTATGTGTGTACTGATGATCTATGCTGTAAAGTGCTGGAGTCTCAATTGATGCCTGACATTTCTTAATCATAGAATCCCTACAGTGTAGAAGCAGGCCATTCGGCATACCAAGTCCACACTGACCCTTTGAAGAGCATTCCACCCAGCTTCCCCACCCCCCCCAAAGTTCCTGAACACAGCATTTCTCATAGCTAATCCACCTAACCTACACCTCCCTGCACACTTGTCGGCAATCTAGCATGGCCAGTCCACCTAACCTACATGCCTTTGGACTGAGAGAGGAAAGTGGAGCACCTGGAAGAAACCCACACAGACATGGGAAGAATGTGCAAACTGCACACAGACAGTCGCCTGAGGCTAGAATTGAACCCTGGTGCTGTGAGACAGCGGTGCTACCAACTGAGCCACCATGCTGCCCTAAGCACCTCCAGTAAAATGCTGTGTCCTTCCATGAAGGTATACTTGAAGACATCTAGTTATGGACACACTCCATGATGTCTTTGTCTTTATCCTTTGTTAATTTTACTGTTTGCAGCAAGTAAGAATATGCTTTGGGAGAGTGGGGAAGCAGAGTGAATAAAGAATGAGGACTCAAGAGAAATGAAAATGACTGATCACATTATCCTATCACATCTGCAGTTCCTACTATCTCTGATCACATTATCAGTTATTTTTGGGTTTTTGGATTATCAACTGATATTGTTTTCTACAATATATCAAACATCCCCTGCTTTCCATGCTGAAGTGGCCAAACCTGTTTGAAAAATAAACATTTTTCAAAAAATTAGTATAGGACCTAGCAAAATTGACACTTTTCTTCCAAGGATAAAAATGAAGTAATTAAATTTCTCTTTTTTTTTGTTGCAGGGTTTTGAGAGAGTGTACAAGGAAATTCCTGATATTCATTTAGATGTGCCACAGGCTTACACAGTGATGGAACAGTTTGTAGAACAGTGCCATCAAATGGGGATCATAGTGAAAGAGCTGCGAGATCTTTGTCCCTCCAGGTGAGGAACATTGCTCAGTCATTCAAGTTGGTTTGCTCTTTTAAACGCAAATCAAAAATTATTTATGCCAGTTATGACAATGTATGAAATGAGCTGAATGTATAGGTACAGCGGATGCAATTAACTGTAGGATTATTTTGAAAGAGTATTTCCACTCTTTGAGCTTTTAACCCTTTAAAATTTTGATTTGGATCCTTGAAGCCATTTTTGACTATCCACTCTATCTACGTCTCTCATCATCTTGTAAACCTCTATCAAGTCACCTCTCATCCTTCTTTGATCGAATGAAAAAAGCCCTAGCTTCCTCAACCTTTCCTCGTAAGACCTGCCCTCCAGTCCAGGCAGCATCCTGGTAAATCTCCTCTGCACCCTCTCTAAAGCTTCGACATCTTTCCTATTATGAGGTGACCAGAACTGAACACAATATTCCAAGTGTGGTCTAACCAGAGTTTTATAGAGCTGCAGCATAACCTCACGGCTCTTAAACTCAATTCCCCTGCCAATGAAAGCCAACACACCATATGCCTTCTTTACAACCCTATCAACTTGGGTAGCAACTTCGAGGGATCTATGGACGTGGACCCCAAGATCCTTCTGTTCCTCCACACTGCCAAGAATTTTGCCATTAACCCTGAGCAGCACTTTCCAAGTCTGTGGCAACTACCATCTTCAGAACAGAAAGTACATGGGAGTGCACACTTCCCTTTAGGACGTGTGTGATCCTAGGTTGTAGGCATGTTTGCCGAGCTGGTGGGTTTGTTTGCAAACGTTTCATCACCTGCTAGGTAACATAGTCAGTGCGCCTCCAGTGAAGCGTTTGTGTTCTGTCCCACTTGTTATTTATATGCCAGTTTGTTGGGGTGTTTGGTACCACTTCCGGTTCTGTTTCTCAATAGTTTGTACACCAGGTCTAATTCAATGCATTTGTTGATGGAGTTCCGGCTAGAATACCAAGCCTCGAGGAATTCCATGGCATGTCTCTGTTTGGTTTGTGCGATTATTAATGTATTGTCCCAGTCGAATTCATGTCTCACTACACAAGGACAACGAGAGACAAGTGAGAATTGGTCGTGTCTCTTGGTGGCGAGTTGGTGTTCATGTATCCGTACTGTCAGTTTTCTTCCGGTTTGGCCTATGCAGTGTTTCTCACAGTCCTTGCATGGTATTTTGTATATTACACTGGTTTTGAGTATGGGATCCTTTAGCTTTGTCAGTAGCTGTCGTAGGGTTGTTGGTTTGTGGGCTACCCTAATAGCCAGGGGTCTGAGTAGTCTTATGGTCATCTCTGAAATGTCTTTGATGTACAGTAGGGTGATTAGTGAGTCTGGTCGTGTTGTGTTTTTCGGTATCCATTCCTTTTAAAGACTCCATATAAGTGCTCCTGTTTTGCTTTGCGTGGTTCTGGGTTGCTGCAATGTGTTATGGTTCATTTAAATAGTGTCCTGATGCAGCTACGTTTGTGCGCGTTGGGGTGGTTGCTAGTGTAATTGAGTATCTGGTCCGTATGTGTGGTCTTTCTATATACGCTAGTCTGGAGTTCCCTGTTGTTTTTGCGTTCTACCATTATGTCCAGGAAGGGTAGTCGGTTATTGTTCTCTTCTTTTGTGAATTTTATCCCAGTAAGGATGTTATTTATGTGTTGGTGGGTTTCTTCTAGTTTTGTGCATTTGATAATTACGAAAGTATCATCTACGTCTTGGGCAGCAAGTTTGGGTTGTATAGTGGGGAGCGTTGTCCGTTCTAACCTTTGCATTACTGCTTCTGCAATCAGTCCTGATATTGGGGATCCCATTGGTGTTCTGCTGACATGTTTGTATATGCTGTCGTTGAAGGTGAAGTCGGTTGTGAGACACAGATCTAGTAGTTTCATGGTGGGTGTCCTTATTGATGTTGTTGGTGTCCTGGGGTGCCTGCCTACTTGATTCATCAAGCAGTGTGGCAATTGTCTCTTTGGCTAGGTTGGTGTTTAAGGATGTAAATATTGCTGTTACATCGAAGGATATCATCATCTCGTCCTCTTCTATTCTGGTGTCCTTGATGTTGAGGAATTCTTGGGATGAGTGGATGGAGTGGGTAGTGTTGTCAACTAAGTATTTCCATTTCTGTTGTAGTTCTTTGGCAAGTCTATATGTTATTGTGCTGGTAGTGAGACAATGGGTCTGAGGGGGATCCCCAGTTTGTGTACCTTTGGGAGTCTGTAGAAGTGGGGTATGTTGGATCCCTGACAGAACACCAACGCTTCACCGGAGGTGCACTGACGATGTTACCTAGCAGGGTGACGAAGCATTTGCAGCCAAACCCACCAGTTTGGCGGGCATGTCTACAACCTCATCCACAACTCGAACTACAAATCTTCTCAAACTTTAAATACACAGGTGTGATCCTAATTTGGACAAATAAAGTTCCTTTAATGAGACTGGGTCAGTATCCTGGAAGTAACAATTTTCTGGGAGTGCTGCAGTTCAGGAAGAATGCTCATCACTGTTATTGACAAATGGGATTGGTTCATAGATAACTGGCCAGTGAGGTTCATGTCCCAAGAATGGATTGCATGAAGTTGGTGTTGCTTGTATTTTAAAGGAGCTAGGAAAAAATGCTCAGTTGTATAGTTTAGCTTCATTTCCCCTGGTTTATACGAGTCGAACAAAATGCAACATTAACCAGTTTGAACAAGCTAGAGTAATTGGAGCTTGTCGCTATAGAGAGAATTCTAACAGTGGCAGAAGTTGGTACTGTATAGAACACACAATTACTATTGATTTACTTAATGTAAGTAGTAATTTTTAATTACTGTTACCTTGTATTAATTTATGTTGTTTAACTTTTTGACTTCAACTTTAAGGGGACGCAAACGCTTTGTGAGTGAAGGAGATGGTGGACGCTTCAAATGAGAATGTTAAAGGTGAACGAGCACAAGTTTCTGCAATTTTTTTTGATTTTTCTTTTTTGTTTCTGTGCATTACACATGAGCCTGGGGCATGGGTTAAACCTCATTAAATATTTTCAAGTGCATTTGCTATGAAAATAGAACCAAAAAGCACTTAACTATGTGGGGTATAGATTGTTCTTTTTTACCAGGGGCGGGGGAAATGAAGAACTAACAGCAGTATCGCACTTGTGGTCCATGAAACTAAGCTACTTAAGGATCTGTGTAATCTGATCATTCCATAGTCTGTAGAAAATTCACTGCCAAGCATTTCTGAATATTGCGGTCTTCAAAAGGCCTGGCTTAACTGCCGAAATCTCTGAATGGATCACATGTGCTGTGTAATGAATCTCTCTTTCTTGGCTGCTAATGCTAAAATGCAGTGCTTCAAGCAGTTTAAAATAAAAAGCTGGATTGTACCTTTTTATTCGTGTACAATTGCCAGTAGAATGTATAAACTGTCCAATTGTTTTATGGTACAAATAACTTCTGGCATTAAATTGATTTTGAAGATGGAATATGACAATGGATGTACTTTTCTTCCTTGCAGAAAATGAAAATCAAAATAAAGTTGGTTTTTAAAGGTTTAGATTTTTCTTTGCGTCCCACCAGCATACTTTTGTGAATTCTTCTAATTAAAGATATAAGTACCAGATCAGAAAAATGTGTGCACTCCATATCCCTTTGTCCAAAACTAATACCTTTAGTGAAAGGCCAAGTTACCACAGTTCCACCAGCCCATGGGGCTGCTGTCTGAGAGAGACAACCTGTGATCGTTTAACTGGAGGGTCACCACATTTTGGGCAAGGGAAGAAGTTGAGAAACACATCCTTCATTGTAATCTTGGCCCGTGTGGGAATTGAACTCACGCTGTTGGTCACGCTCTCCAAACCATCCATCCAGCTGAGCAAACTGGCCAGGTTAACCATGCACTGAAGGTCAAAAATCACAACACCAGGATATAGTCCCAACAGATTTATTTGAAGGCGCAAGCTTTCATAGCTCAGCTCCTTCTTCAGGCGTAGTGTGAGAGAGGGGGTATAGGACACAGAATTTCTAAGCAGGCAGGTAATAACCCTAGAACCAGGAAGCTGAATTTTGCATTTGAATCAGGAGTCTCTTTCCTAACCGATGAAAGATTCAACACGAATTCTTGGGATGAGTGGGCAGCCAGTTTTAGGGTTGTTACCTTCCTGCTTATAAATTGTCTTATATACCCTTTCTCTCACACTACGCCCAAGAAAGGAGCTGAGCTTTGAAAGCTTGCGTTTTGAAATAAAACCTGTTGGACTATAATCTGGTGTTGTGATTTTTAACCTTGTCCACCCCAGTCCAACACCGGCGTCTCCACATCATGGTTACATTGTTGAAGACATCTTAGCCAGGAAGAGAGGTTAGAGAGACTGGAATTCTTTAATCAGGAAAAATACTTGAGATTTCTCATTGGAATTAAGTGAGTCCTCATTTGAAATTGATACATAGAGGAAAACAAGGTGTATAAAGTATTTAATTGTCATTGGTTTATGTAAAGGATGGTTAGAATGGGGGGCATGTTAAGTGGGAAATTGCATAGCCATGCTGTAGGATGGTGACCAGCACTGTACTAAATCCTATGTCAGTTTGTTTTGAGATAAAAATGAAAATGTTGATCAAAAACTGAAAATGATATGATTCGGAACTGATCGTTGTGTTTGTTACTGTTGACTATAAAGAATTTTACTAGCAAGACTAGTCAATAATAACACTTTTGAAGTGTTGGCAAGCTTAAAAGTGGGCAAATCTCCAGGTCTGGATGAATTGTGTACGAGGCTGCTGTGGGAGGCAAGGAACGAGATTGCAGGGGCACTGACCCAAATTTTTAATTCCTTTCTGGTCATGGGGGTGAGATGCCAGATGTGAACAGCTAGTGTGGTTTGAATATTTAAGATGGTTTATAGAGATAAGCCAGAGAACTAAAGACCATTGAGTCTCACACCAGTAGTATGGAAACTATTGGTGAAAATTCTGAAGGAGATCATCTATCTCCACATGGAGAGGCAAGGCTTCATCAGGCGTAGTTAGCATAGCTTCATCAGAAGGAGGTCATGCCTAACAAATTTGAATATTTTGAGGAGGTGACCAGGTTTGTAAATGAGCACAGTGAAGTAGGGTGCAGAGGAGATTCACCAGGATGTTAGCTGGGGTGGAAAATTTAAGTTATGAGAAAATGTTGGATAGGCTCAGGTTGTTTTTCTTGGACCAGAGAAGACTGAGGGGTAATCTGACTAAGGTGTACAAGATTGAGGGGCACAGACAGGATAAGGAGCAGCTGATGGGTCAGTCAGGAGGGTACACAGGTTCAAGATGAAAGGCAGGAGGTTGGGGGTGGGGAGGTGTGACAAAAAGCTTTTTTTTTTAAACCTAGAGGGTGGTGACAGTCCAGAATACACTGCCTGGGGGATAGTAGAGCTGAGTTGCCTTACATATTTTAAAAAGTACTTGGATGAGCACTTGGCACATCAACATTTATGGTTATGGGCCAAGTGCTGGTAAAGCGAATTAGGTTGAAGGTCAGGTGTTGATGCAGACCCAGTGGGCTGAAGGGCCTTTTCTGCATAGTACAATTCTATGAACCCTTGCCTTTTCCTAAGAATTGTTATTATTGAGAAAGGAGCAACATTCCAAAACCTAGTGTTTTCAAATAAACCTGTTGGACTATAACCTGGTGTTGTGATTTTTGACCTAAAAAAATCAACACGACCATTCAATATTGCCTGAAGCAAATACCATAATACTTACATTGTAATGCTGCCTGAATAATCATTGAAGAACAGGTTCTTCTTCCTGTATGTGAATGTTAGATTTACCCAGTATGATTGCTTTGAAGATATGATCAATCAAATCAGTGGGGTTTGAGCAACGGAGCTTGTGTGCATATCCACCTGTGCTTCTCTTTTTTTCCCCCCCTCCACCTCCACCTCAATATTACACTGACTGTTTCACTAAAGCCTTGTGCAGGGGTCCAGCAGTCTGTTCGCAGAACTCATTCTGTCGAGATAGGTTAGTAAATTACTAAGTGGTTTCTGAGCTTGCATAGGCTGTTTTCTTTAAAATTTGTATGAATGACCTGTTAGACACAATTTACCATTTTGGATTAAACTTTGGGTTCAGTGGTATTTTTAAAGTTAAAGTAAGCATTACAAAATGTCACCTTGAAGTTCACAAAACTGGTGTGCTACCACCAACTATATCACAGCAACTTAAAATGCAAACAACAAGTTTTATGGCTATAATCAATACAGTGAGACTGGGAAAAATTCTTATTTCTGTTCTTTTTGTGCCAATTCCTGTTGGCGAATAGCCTCCTGTGCTTCCCTCTGCATTTTCTCCATCTTCTCCAATGTCACTGATTTAAGTGGCAGCAGCTTTGGTTTGCAGAGCACCATAGTAGGAACATCCTCAAAGGAGAGCTGACCTAGTGTAAATGAATAATAGATGAAAAGAAATATGTAAAATACTGGGGAATTTGTGTCTTTTTTTTCCCAACATTATAATCACAGCATCGATGCTCATTGTTAGATCTTTATTAGCCGTATGATTTGTGTTCCTAGGCCCAGGACAGTGTAACACCTCTATTTCTGAGCTGCCTGGGATTCAACTCACCACAAACTAGTGACTTCCCTAGTCTGTATGCACACCAAGTACTCCATGTACCTTCTGAAGTTCAGGGCCAAAATCCTCATGTTCTAAGGACAGCCCCTGAAACCTGCCATCAAACCAGACATTATGATTTGGTTCAGGAAGGAGATGTGTAATTGGCAAGAAAATTGATTGATTGATATGTTGACAATAATTGAGAAACTTGGTAAAGGTTCTAATCTATCAAAGGATGACCACATTTCCCAGTCCCTTTGTTTAACAGCTGTACAGGCTCTTCATGTGAGATTGCCAATACAAGGCCATCACCTCATGGTGTTAAAATACTTTTTGTTGTTCCAACAGAGAAGATTCACCTGTGAATCTCAGGACTTGTGTTCAAATATCCTATGCATTTCAAACACTCATCAGGAATGCTGAAGACTGGTTATACACTAGGAGGGAGAGAACTAAAATGGGAGGGGAATTTAAAACTGGGTCAATGATGATGTTTCCCAGCTAGTTTTACCATACTGTTAGACATAGGAGCAGATGTTAGGCCATTTGGCCCATCGAGTCTGCTCCGTCATTCAATTATGGCCGATAAGTTTCTCAACCCCATTCTCCTGCTTTCTTCCTGTAACCTTTGATTCCCATCCACTGTTAGTGTGAGATTCATACTGAACTATAGACAGTACAAGTTACCATTAATTTGACTGGGTGGAGCCTTTAAGATAAATTGAAGACAACAGATTATTGTTGAAAAAATATTTTTATAGTTGATTAATTTGATATCAACTACACTGTTTTACCAGACTTTGATATAAGAAAACCAGTAAGTATCATTGTATTTTTTATTCGTCTTTGTAATAATGATCAATACAAGTCCTTACAGAAGCTGCAGTAGTTTTTAAATGGGACTGAGAATGTGGTTCCTATTTGTAGAATATTCAAATCTCCTAACTGCTGGCTATCTTAAAGCTATCACCTGCAGTGAATGTTGCTGAACTTCTCATGTTAGAATTTGTTCACATTGGTCTCTGGTACTCCTGTTTGTCTTCAATTTCAGTTCGACTTTGTTTGAGTTGCAAAAATAGAAAGTCTTATCAGTTTACAAATATAGTCATTCTTTTAAAAAGCTCTAAATCAAAACAGATCTTTCAAACTAAATCAATTCAAATTTCAATTGTTCATCTCTCCATCTTTACAGTACTGTGTAGTTTCCTGGCAGTTGTTTTTGAACTTACAAACAATATTCTCAATAGCATATCTATGCTAGAACCTGATCTTAAATCATCACTGAAGCTGGAAATGTGAGACAAAGATTGAAGGTGCTGGAGAAACACAGGAAGTCTAGCAGTATCTGTGGGGAAAAAAACTCAGTTTATGTTTTGAGCCCACTGACTCCTCATCAGAACTGAAAACAGTGAGGAAATGGTTGTATTTATGTTGATTGTGGGAGGGGTGTGGAGGAAGACAAATAGAAAAGTGAAATGAGTAGATAGAGGCAATTCCCAAAGAGACTGAGAAAGAAAAGAGCAAGCAGTCAGTGATTGCAACCACTGCATACATGATCATAGGAACTGAGAGTAGTTGGAAAAGCGTTGGTTGTGCTGGGAGCAACCCATACAGGACATGAAAAAAATAGAAATTGCTGGAGAAACTCTGCAGGTCTGGCAGCATCTGTGAACAGAAAGCAGAATTAGAGTTTTGACTCCATACAGGACAGGACTTGGGGCTGGGTAACCAACATGGAGGGAGGTGTTCATGCTCTGTAGTTGTTGAGCTCAATGTTGAGTCCTGAAGGCTTAGGTACCTAGGCAGAAGGTGAGGTATTGTTTCTCCATCTTGCATAGAGGAATTAAAAATGCAAAGTTCACATCACAGACAGCAAAGCATCGGATCTGCAATCGTGCACTCGGAGATTGTTCGACACCGTATCTTTATTCCGTTGTGTTCCTTTTATCTTTCCCC